GTAGTCCTCACCAACAGAGACTGTGACTTGTTCCACTGTAGAGTTTCTCCAGGTGGCAACGTCGGATCCCATCACATCCCTGTGGTAATCAAGCTACAGTCCACTCCGTTCCGTACCCCCCCCTCCCTAAACCCAACCTGAAGACGCTAGGTTTTGACCCCTTTAGAGCCTTCTTAGGTAATGATCAAACCATCAAACTCGAAGACCAGCCCTGCAGTGCAATAGATGGGGCAATTAACTCCCTTCACGCCAGAATCAATGAGGCCACACAAGCTTGCTGCACACTAACATCGTCCAAGATCTACCAACAATACAAACCAACTAGGGAAATCGAGGACAGAATGAACAGGTACCAATTAGAATGCAGTAGACACTTCCTCACAGGGCAACCCTCTCGGGAAGCCCTACTAAGATCGAGAAGAGAGCTAATCGCCCTAATAACCCAACATAAAAGAGACCTTTGGGAATATCTGGTGCGCCAGGCTAACCAGTACAAACGCCACCCAGACCAATTCTGGAGCACGATCCGCAGACTACTAGGGGCCAAACACATTCCCACTCAACACCTCTCTCACTCCTTCACCCACGCAAATGGTGAGGTAGTGACTTCCCTACTTGACGACCCACTGGACCAAGCCAAGCTGATGGGCGAAATATGGGAGAATATTCTCTCACACAACGACAGCAGAAGATTTAACAACACCCACTACCAGTGGGTCAACCAATGGTGGGACGAGAACCTAGAAGACTTTCATCCTATACCATCAATTGACACAGCTACCCTTGAAGACGAACATCCCCTCACCAGACCAATCACACTCAGAGAAGTATCCCACGTCATAGGGCGTCTGAGAAACACAGCTCCTGGCCCATCAGGCATAAGAGCTAAACAACTAAAGTACCTCCCCCGTAACTGCAAGATGTCTCTGGTGAATATCTACAATGCCATCTTGGCATCTGGTCACTTCCCAGTGGCTTTCAAGACAGCTAAGATGATCTTCATCGCCAAACCAAACAAGGACAACCGCAATCCCGAGAACTACAGACCCATCTCCCTACTCGAAGTCACGGGCAAAGTCTTTGAAAGAATAATCTCCAACAGACTCAGCTATTACATGGAGTTCAACCACCTATTCTCTGAAAGGCAGTTCGGCTTCAGGTCCCACCGCAGCACTCAGCATGCCATAAACATCTATGATGCTGTGGCCAGCCTGAAGAAGCAAGGGAACCTGGCCCTTATCGCCACCAGGGACGTACACAAGGCCTTCGACAGCCTTTGGCACGACGGTCTCATTCACAAACTCATAGACCTCCCTGATCACAACTGGACCTTTCTCAGGCTCATCTACAACTTCTTAACAGGAAGAAAAATCATCCCCACCTTCCACGGAGCAGAATCAACCCCTTCCACACCAACAGCAGGAATACCCCAAGGCTCCTGCCTCAGCCCCATCCTCTTCAACATATACGTCAACGACCTCCCCCAACCTGAACATACCGACACCATGATCACCCAATTCGCAGACGATGTCATCCATGTTGTCTCCTCCACCCCTACAGCTGGTGCTAACAAGCATAGGAGAGCAGTCGAGAAAATGAATGAAGAACTAAATAGAACTGCCAGGTGGGAGAAGAAATGGAGAATCACAACCAACCCTGACAAAGTCCTCATCAGCACCGTTGGGTGCTTACCATCAACCATAGAAGAAAAAGGGGGCATTTCCATCAGAGGCACCCGTATCGCTATAAGGAATCCTAACAAGATCCTAGGATACGAGATCGGCAGATTACTCAACTCTACAACCCACATAACCAAAAAGGTAAACCTAGCAAAAGCTCGCCTTGGCCAACTTTATCGATTCAAAGCAGCCCCTCCCCACATCAAACTACACCTGTACAAGATGATGATCAGACCTCTGCTGGAATACCCCTGCGTACCCATGTCGCTCACAACCAAAACCAACATGCTAAAACTCCAAAGAGTCCAAAACAAAGCCCTCCGCTTCATCACGAACACCAGACTCAGAGACAGAATCAGATCAGAGGACCTACACATACAACAGAGAATCCCCGCAATCAACGTCTGATTAGACAAACTTACTAAGAGACAACTATATGACATGCAGGAACTCTACATGCCTGACAGAGAATCTCCCTCAACCAGCAAACACAACCGACTATACCATCACCACCCCTCCCCACAGATCCCAAAGAATGACCCTCCAACAAAGAGTTCGACGCTTTATCCACAAGGAGAACTTCCCTCGTCCCAAAATCTTAAGCGACCTCCCCGAAGACAAAGAATGGATACCACCGGAACCATTCTATGTCCAGTAACATGGACTAGCGCCCCCCATCTCCGGGTGACCCACTTCTATCAACCAACACCTCACAACTGACCTCGTTGCACCTACTACTACAATACAGCAGGACACCACCTCAGTCACTGCCTTGCTGGCCGACTCCAGGTGAGCAACCAACCTCCATCGAATGCCCGGCAACCCTCGCCTGCAGCTGCGCCTCCTGACCAACCTCTTGCAAAAAAAAAACAAAAAAAAAACAGGAAGCAATACTATGCAGTATGCATCCTTCCAATTCAATGACGCACTGGTATAACACAATATAGCATTGCGAAATTGATGGGCAGGAGGTATACCCTACTCATATAACCAACCTCTTCATAAATCACTCAATATGCACACACGCATATTCAAATTACACCAAAGTGGATAGGCCACTACCCTTTTATAACCCCACAAAATCTTTGAAAGGGTCCTAAGAAGCAAGATCACCACCCATCTAGAAACCCATCAGTTACACAACCCAGGGCAACATGGGTTTAGAACAGGTCGCTCCTGTCTGTCTCAACTACTGGATCACTACGACAAGGTCCTAAATGCACTAGAAGACAAAAAGAATGCAGATGTAATATATACAGACTTTGCAAAAGCCTTCGACAAGTGTGACCATGGCGTAATAGCGCACAAAATGCGCGCTAAAGGAATAACAGGAAAAGTCGGTCGATGGATCTATAATTTTCTCACTAACAGAACACAGAGAGTAGTCGTCAACAGAGTAAAGTCCGAGGCAGCTACGGTGAAAAGCTCTGTTCCACAAGCACAGTACTAGCTCCCATCTTGTTCCTCATCCTCATATCCGACATAGACAAGGATGTCAGCCACAGCACCGTGTCTTCCTTTGCAGATGACACCCGAATCTGCATGACAGTGTCTTCCATTGCAGACACTGCAAGGCTCCAGGCGGACATCAACCAAATCTTTCAGTGGGCTGCAGAAAACAATATGAAGTTCAACGATGAGAAATTTCAATTACTCAGATATGGTAAACATGAGGAAATTAAATCTTCATCAGAGTACAAAACAAATTCTGGCCACAAAATAGAGCGAAACACCAACGTCAAAGACCTGGGAGTGATTATGTCGGAGGATCTCACCTTCAAGGACCATAACATTGTATCAATCGCATCTGCTAGAAAAATGACAGGATGGATAATGAGAACCTTCAAAACTAGGGAGCCAAGCCCATGATGACACTCTTCAGGTCACTTGTTCTATCTAGGCTGGAATATTGCTGCACTCTAACAGCACCTTTCAAGGCAGGTGAAATTGCCGACCTAGAAAATGTACAGAGAACTTTCACGGCGCGCATAACGGAGATAAAACACCTCAATTACTGGAGCGCTTGAGGTTTCTAAACCTGTATTCCCTGGAACGCAGGAGGGAGAGATACATGATTATATACACCTGGAAAATCCTAGAGGGACTAGTACCGAACTTGCACACGAAAATCACTCACTACGAAAGCAAAAGACTTGGCAGACGATGCACCATCCCCCCAATGAAAAGCAGGGGTGTCACTAGCACGTTAAGAGACCATACAATAAGTGTCAGGGGCCCGAGACTGTTCAACTGCCTCCCAGCACACATAAGGGGGATTACCAACAGACCCCTGGCAGTCTTCAAGCTGGCACTGGACAAGCACCTAAAGTCAGTTCCTGATCAGCCGGGCTGTGGCTCGTACGTTGGTCTGCGTGCAGCCAGCAGCAACAGCCTGGTTGATCAGGCGCTGATCCACCAGGAGGCCTGGTCACAGACCGGGCCGCGGGGGCGTTGACCCCCGAAACTCTCTCCAGGTAACTCCAGGTAACACCTGCCCCTCCTCCCCCCCAACCTTTCCCAAACTTCCATCCTTACCCATCCTTCTTCCCCCCCTCCCCTCTTACCAAAGCTCTGGTCAGAACCTCGAACCTCTCCTTCAGAATCTCCACGACTATGGTGCTCTTCGCACCTACTGCTAGGTTGAGGGACTGATTACCTCATCTTCTGGTAGGTAAGACACCTCATCTTCTGTACATAGTTCTCCTGTCTTCAAGTTATGTCCTGGAATTTGTATTGATAAAGCCACTGGATGGCGAAACGTCTACAATAAAGATACCCAGATGTTGCACATGTGTCTCAATTTCAGCATAGTAGGGTTATTGAAGCTAAAACCTTGGGACGAGCCGGGCTGTGGCTCGTACGTTGGTTTGCGTGCAGCCAGCAGTAACAGCCTGGTTGATCAGGCTCTGATCCACCAGCCCCTCAAGGAAGGTTCCTTGATGTTGGTGAGGGGCTCTTGATTTAGGGAATTGGATCTGTGCTCCAGTTCCCCGAATTAAGCCTGAATGCCTTCCACATCCCCCCCCAGGCGCTGTATAATCCTCCGGGTTTAGCGCTTCCCCCTTGATTATAATAATAATAATAATAATAATCTGATCCACCAGGAGGCCTGGTCACAGACCGGGCCGCGGGGGCGTTGACCCCCGGAACTCTCTCCAGGTAAACTCCAGTTTCAAATTTGGGTTGGATAAATACATGAGAGGGGTTGGATCTGAGTGGGACTTGCACATCAGTAAATAGAATCATTAAAGGATTGGGCAACGTTTATTGTTAATGGGTTGGATTTGTGAAGGACCTGCCTAGTATGGGCCAACAGACCTACTGCAGTGTTCCTCCTTATGTTCTTATGGAACATAAGACATACCACACAAGACACATACACAACACATACATGAAAAATCACCTAGGACACATAATACACATGACACACAAGACACGTATGAAACAAATATTAAGCAAGACACACATAACACACAATACGCATAACACATAAGACACATATAGCACATAAGACACAACCTCAGTGAACCATCGTCTCAGTTTGTCATCAAAATATGGAAACATGGCTGAATACCTGGCATCGATTTTCGGCACTGAAAAGGATAAGTAAGAAATTATAATGGCAACTAGTCCTTATTTTCACTACATGCACGTCATGTGTCATCTCAAAAATATTATTAGTAAAGCTGGGTTATATACGAGTAATTAAAAGGTCAATTGCTTATAGCACCCTTTTTTTGGGGGGGGGGGAGAGAATAAAACGTTGAATGCCGTAATGAAATTATATTATCTTACTTTTTATAAGCTTCTGTCAGTAGTATATAAATGTGTTTGCAATAAATGTGTCAAGAGTAATACAGGACCCCCAATGGTAATTAATAACGACATTTTTGGGGGGTTATCCTAGGCAATTTGTTATATTGTTTTCTTTTAAAATGTATGATAATTGTACTTATGTGTACCTACACCTAAATCTGTACCTGAATAACTAAATGCTCAGAGTACAATAAATTCTCATATTTTAACGCAAAAATTTTAATGCAGATGTTGAATAAAATATATTTGACATATGTATAACCTGTTGTATAATTAGTGTAACCTGATCAAACTATGTTTTGTACGTCTAGTGTTAAGTAATTAGTAATCTGTTAAGTTTAGACTGCCCGTAATGCCAAGGCATGATAGTGGCTCTCTTTGCACAACAAATCATTGTAAACCCTCACTGTAAACTACCTATGTATATATACGTCCTACAATATATCAACCATATTGTAAACTTGCTAGGAAATAAAAAAAAATTTAAATCTAAATCAAAATATTATAGAGCTGTTTACCATTGGATCCTGATGGAATAAGTAAGTTTATTTAGGAACAAGTACACATACAGTTACATAAATTTCCATACATAATAACATGTGTAAATTACCTTGGATAACCCCCAAAAAAGGTCTGACAAAGTGACTTATTTTTAAAGTGACTAATTTTCCATTGGAAATAAAACACTTAAATTTTTGGGTTATCCTAGGGTGTTTACATAGTTGTTTCTATGTGATACAATTGTAATCATCCAAAATTGTGTAAATTGTACCCCTCGAGGGAGGTTCCTCGATACTGGTGAAGGGCTCGTGATCTAGGGATTTGGATCTGTGCTCCAATTCCCTGAATTGAGCCTGAATACCTAAACACTGGTGGCCTGGTGGCTAAAGCTCCCACTTCACACACGGAGGGCCCGGGTTCGATTCCCGGCGGGTGGAAACATTTCGACACGTTTCCTTACACCTGTTGTCCTGTTCACCTAGCAGCAAATAGGTACCTGGGTATTAGTCGACTGGTGTGGGTCGCATCCTGGGGGACAAGCTTAAGGACCCCAATGGAAATAAGTTAGACAGTCCTCGATGATGCACTGACTTTCTTGGGTTATCCTGGGTGGCTAGCCCTCCAGGGTTAAAATCCGAACGAAATCTTATCTTATCCCCCAACAAGTGTGCTGTATAATCCTATGAGTTTAGCGCTCCCTCATGATTATAATAATCAAGTGTAAATTGTGCCTAAATAAACAAATTTAGGTACAATTTACATATTTAAGTAAGTTTGCAAAACTTAAAGAAAAATAAATGTTTGGGTATTTGAACAGTAATTATTTGCTTCTACACATTTTTTTTTTCACTCTCTGGGTGGTCAAAGGTATTTGTAAAGCATTAGAAAATGTCTTTACTGCTAGTAGATGAAAAGAAATTTTGAATTATGTAGAGGATATGGTTGAGATTTCCAAGGTTAAGTTATAAAGTGTTAACCATGTACAAAGGATTGCTCTACAATGACTGTACTTAATTTTTGTAATATTTTATTCTAACTTTAGTGTGATAGATCAGTATCACACATTTGTAAACAACTTAATCTGAATATAGAACTAAACAAATTAAACTACAAAGAATCACAAAATAGCACACAGAGGAATTAAAATCTTAGTAAACCCTCCAATTTATGAACTAATAACATTAGTTAAATCAAGGTTTTACTTTAATAGCAAAAAAGTACTGTATAGAGTAACCTTAATTTAGGGGAAAGATACTGTCAGAATTCATTTGGCAAAATGCTTACCAAGAAAAATAATGCAGCATTTATAATTCATCCCTAAAAAATCATAAATATAGCAACAAAAATTAATAATTCTGTACTCAGTGGATTTTGTCCGTTTCCGATGTCTGATAAATGAAGGTCCATCAAGTAGAGGTTTGTGTGGCCTGTGGCCTGGTAGGCAACACTCTTGCCTCACATACTGAGTGTGTGTGGTTCGATCCCCGGCAAGGGTGGAAACATTGGGTGTATTTCCTTACACCTGTTGTCCCATTCACCTAGCAAGCAAGTAGGTACCCGGGTGTTAGTCATCTGGTGTGGGTCACATCTTGGGAGACAAGATTGAGGACCCCAATGGAAATAACACAGGCAATCCCTTTCTTGGGTTATCCTGGGTGGCTAACCCTCTGGGATTAAAAATCCAAACAAAATCTTCTCTCTCATACTGTATATGTAAAAATACAATATCACAACATTAAAGATAACAGTCTTGGAATTAAAAATGGTTTTAATTGTTTTCTTAAGTTATACATAAACAATTATTGGTGCTGTAAATGCATGCGTCCTTCCCTCGAATCTCAGATGAAGACGTCATACAGCATACATGGAAGGTATTTTAAGGGTCAGCGCTCCCACAGGCCGGTCCATGACCAGGCCTGAAAGGTAACTCCGAAGCTTAGTCTCTTTTCCTTATGTGGAGTTTTGCACAAAATGTGTGTGTGTGTGTATGTGTGTGTGTGTGTGTGTGTGTGTGCGTGCATGTGTGCGTGCGTGTGCGTGCGTGCGTGCGTCCGCACTTGTGTGCATCTGTTCGTGCATGTGTGTGAGTGTTTGTACATGTAATGACTATATGGGCCACTGACAACAATAGCCTGGCTGATCAAGCTTTCATCAGGGATGCTGAGCACCAAGTTGGGCTTTGAAAAGGCTAGAATAAATTATTATTCATTTATATTTAAATTGATCTTTTTTTTTTGCACTTATTACTGAATTCATTATTTCAGGGTCAACTGTAGCTTTTACTTCAAAATCGGAGCATGTCGTCATGGGGATCGCTGTTCCAGAATTCATAACAAGCCCACTTTTAGTCAGGTAATTATCTTAGGAATAAAGTTATAACTAATGTCTGTTCTGTCTTATTTTGGGATCTACAAGTGAGACAGAATTAAATAATTACGTTTTACTAATTTTTTCCTTTAATATCTGATTTTGGATATATGTGATGTTGCAAGTAGCCCTTCCTTTTTTTTTCAGGAAATAAGTTTGCCATATTCCATCCATACAAACATTATCTCATTAAGAGAAGTACTGTACTTGTACTGTAGTGTTTCACTGCCAGTTATATCACAAAAGGTGTGTATAATATATTTAAACCTTAAAACTGCAAATTAATAGCTCCCTTTCACATTTTTTTCTGTCAGCTATCGGTAAAAATGTAGTGCACTTAAATTTTTGTGTGTTACTGAGCTTCAAATTGTTTTTTTTTTAATCAGTAAGATTAGATTTTATCCCAAGATGAGTCATGCTGATTATCCCATGAAGGATTTTGCCATCAATAAGTATATACAGTACTAACTGGTAGCACAAGCGTTAGTATTATTTTTCCCCTTCTCTCCTCCCCTTTTGTGTGATCCACTGAGTTGTGTCTTTGTCTTTTTATCTAGCCATGTATGATCACTCTGAGCCCAGGTTATCATACCCATCCAGCAAACTCAGCACCAATACGCACATACACTTGGTAGAGTGAAAGATGGGTTAGTATGCCTTTGTTATTTACTTTTGTGCCACATTTGGTTGTGATAATGGTTATTTACAGCATTTTTAAGAGAATACAGATTATATTATATATATATATATATATATATATATATATATATATATATATATATATATATATATATATATATATATATATATATATATATATATATATATATATATACATATATATATATACATATACATATATACATATATATATATATATATATATATATATATATATATATATATATATATATATATATATATATATATATATATATATATATATATATATATATACAGTGGACCCCCGCTTAACGATCACCTCCAAATGCGACCAATTATGTAAGTGTATTTATGTAAGTGCGTGTGTACGTGTATGTTTGGGGGTCTGAAATGGACTAATCTACTTCACAATATTCCTTATGGGAAAAAATTCGGTCAGTAATGGCACCTGAACATACTACTGGAATGAAAAAAGTTCGTTAACCGGGGGTCCACTGTATATATATATATATATATATATATATATATATATATATATATATATATATACTATATATATATATATATATATATATATATATATATATATATATATATATATATATATATATATATATATATATATATATATAAATATAAATATATATGTATGTATGTATGTATGTATGTATATCATGCTGAATAGGTAAATCTTGCAATTTGGGCTTAAATAACAGCACTTCGGGCCGAATAAGGCCGGTGAAAATTTGTGTATACAGTAATTTCGCAAAAATCATTCTGAACCTAATGAAAAAAATATTTCATTGTGTTTCTTTATTATTAAATTATGTGAACTTATCTAAAATATATTTAGTTGTATCAGGCTAAGTTAAATTGCACTTGTTTAAATAAGGTTAGGTAAGCTCTCTAAGGTTCTTTTGGTACAAAATTATTAATTTTTACATTAACATAAATGAAATATATATCTTTAAACATGTAAGAGAAAATTTTAAAAGGGACCTAATTTTAAATGAGTTATTGCTAATTGACCAATTTTACCTATTCAGCACAACAAACACACACACATACATACACACATACATACACACATACATACACACATACATACACACATACATACACACATACATACACACATGGCGAGGTGTCAGAGTGGGCACCTGTGACCAGCGGGGTCCCGCAGGGGTCAGTCCTAGGACCAGTGCTGTTTCTGGTATTTGTGAACGACATGACGGAAGGAATAGACTCTGAGGTGTCCCTGTTTGCAGATGACGTGAAGTTGATGAGAAGAATTCACTCGATCGAAGACCAGGCAGAACTACAAAGGGATCTGGACAGGCTGCAGACCTGGTCCAGCAATTGGCTCCTGGAGTTCAATCCCACCAAGTGCAAAGTCATGAAGATTGGGGAAGGGCAAAGAAGGCCGCAGACGGAGTACAGTCTAGGGGGTCAGAGACTACAAACCTCACTCAAGGAAAAAGATCTTGGGGTGAGTATAACACCAGGCACATCTCCTGAAGCGCACATCAACCAAATAACTGCTGCAGCATATGGGCGCCTAGCAAACCTCAGAACAGCATTCCGACATCTTAATAAGGAATCATTCAGGACCCTGTACACCGTGTATGTTAGGCCCATATTGGAGTATGCGGCACCAGTTTGGAACCCACACCTAGCCAAGCACGTGAAGAAACTAGAGAAAGTGCAAAGGTTTGCAACAAGACTAGTCCCAGAGCTAAGAGGTATGTCCTACGAGGAGAGGTTAAGGGAAATCAACCTGACGACACTGGAGGACAGGAGAGATAGGGGGGACATGATAACGACATACAAAATACAGAGAGGAATTGACAAGGTGGACAAAGACAGGATGTTCCAGAGATTGGACACAGTAACAAGGGGACACAGTTGGAAGCTGAAGACACAGATGAATCACAGGGATGTTAGGAAGTATTTCTTCAGCCACAGAGTAGTCAGTAAGTGGAATAGTTTGGGAAGCGATGTAGTGGAGGCAGGATCCATACATAGCTTTAAGCAGAGGTATGATAAAGCTCACGGCTCAGGGAGAGTGACCTAGTAGCGATCAGTGAAGAGGCGGGGCCAGGAGCTCGGACTCGACCCCCGCAACCTCAACTAGGTGAGTACATACATACACACATACATACACACATACATACACACATACATACACACATACACACATACACACATACACACATACATACACACATACACACACACACACACACACACACACATACACACACACATACACACATACATACACACATAATACACACATACCACATACACACATACACACACACACATACACATGCACACACATACATACACATATACATACACACATACAAACATAAATACATAAATACATACATACATACATACATTCATGTGTGTTATGTATATTTTACATGTATAGTATTATAAAACTAATTATATTTATATTTATAATTTTCTTCATTGGTGATTTCAGCTTTTTTTTTTTTTTTACCTTAACTGATGCAATGTCATGAGACATTTAAGAAATGAATTTGCCTGAATGTATTTCTGCACTTTAGCAGATGTTCACTCTGGCAATAGCTTGGACAAAGTTTTGTCCAAAAATAAGCATTAAAGGCAATTCTGAATGATTTTTTTTTTAGGTGGCATAGGAATTATTAGCATACAGTATTATTATTTTTATTTTGATATACCTTTTGCATTTTTTGTTTTATGAAAAATTTGGCTATACTCCAGTTCAGTCATTCTGCAATTTTAACTTAAAAAAGAGTCATGTTTAAACTTTTTAGGTATAGTATCAGTGGTATAGTATCGGCGGGAGACGGCCGACTTGTTGAAAAAAAAAAAATCAGTGAGTGGCATAGCCTACATAAGAAGTACGAATTTTATTTCTTATATGATACTATCATCTTTTGATGGAGGGGTGTTGATATGTTGCAGTTTTTTATTTGTAGTGTAGGTGTGATGGAGTGAATGATGATGAAAGTGTTTCTTCTTTTTTTGGGTCACCCTGCCTTGGTGGGAAATGACCGTTGTGTTAATAATAATTAATATTTTTGGGGGCAGTATTGTACTGTTCATATGGTGGTATGCTCACTCAGGAGGAGTGGCAGTGTCCAATAAACTAGTCTGAAAGAAATTTAAAGAAAATATCCATAAAGGATTCTGTTTATCAGTTACAGAGCTTAAAATCTGTTTCTTGCCATTTTTCTCTTTCTTGCTACAATATAAAGAATATGGACAACCTTTAATTTTTGTATATTATTTATGTAAATTAGCTTTTGTCTGGTGAATGTCTAAATCCCCAGTGCATTTCACTACATGGTAACAATACAGAATAATGGGCCAATTGAGAGTTATTTTTTTAATTCTAATTTGCATTTAAAAGTTAGGCATTGGGAGTGAAATTAAACATTATCAGTACATATATATATTTATATATATATACCTATAGATTGAAGAAAGCCCACAAGTGGACAGAAACATCATGTTTCTGTCTCCATATGGGTTTTCCTTAATTTATTTGACAAGTGTCCACTACACTTTAATGTTTCATCACAAGTACAGTAACAACTTGTCAGACTAATCTTGTAGTTTTTCCAGATCCATTTGTATCCTTCCTTTGTCCTCATTAGTTTAAATTTATTCTCCACATTACTTTTACATCATCAGCATATAGGATGTGTCTAATTCATTCCCATCTGGTAAATCATTCATATATATCCTTGCATAATCCCACTTTTTTGTATGTGTATGTATGTGTTATCACGCGCATGCATGTGTATGTGTGTGGACACGTGTATAAGTGTGCACACATGTGCATATGGAGATGTGCGTACTCACCAAATTGTGGTTGCAGGGGTCATTTTTTATAGATCATGCCCCTGAGCTCAGGAACAAGCCTTCTTTCTTATGTCTGCATTTTCTTCAATTTCTTAACATACTCTTTCAGATGAAGATTCCATACTGGTGCAGTATACTCCAAGATGGGCCTGACGTATGTTTTATAAAGGGCCTGTAACGATTCTTTGTTGAGATTCCTGAAGACTACTCTTAGACTTGCATTGCCTGAAGAGGTTATTAGGTTGATGTGTGTGTACTCACCCATATGTGGTTGCAGGGGGTTGAGTCTTAGCTCCTGGCCTTGCCCTTCAACTAGCCTCTTGACCATTTCACTTTCTCCTAGCCTCATTGGCCTGTAGTACCTATTCTTAAAACTATGTTTAGATCCTGACTCCATTTCTTCATCGAGGTCATTTCACTGCACAACCACCCTGACATTGAAGAAATATTTCATGAGTCACATATCTGTGGCTTATCTGTGTCTTTAGCTTCCATCTATGTCACCACAAGTACCTGTTTCCTGCATCTGAAACAATCCGTCTTTGTCTGCCCTCTCAATTCCTCTGAGTATTTTGTATTTTATCATCATGTCTCTCCAGCTCTTTCTGTCCTCCATGTTTGCTAGATTCAGTTCATTTAGCCTTTTCTCATAGCTCACACCCCTTAACTCTGGAACTAGTCTCGTTTCATACTTCTTCACTTTCTCTAATTTCTTTACATGCTCCCTCAGGTGTAGGTTCCAATGGTGCTTCATACTCTAAGATGGGCCTAACACTTGTATAATGCACCAGGAATGACTCTTTAATGAGATTCATGAAGGCCATTCTCAGATTTACGAGGTGAGCATTGTCTGTTCTCACCTATGTGTACTTACCTCTATGTGGTCGCATGGGTTGAATCTCAGCTCCTGGACCCGCATCTTTATTGGCTGCCAGTAGGTTCACTCCTGGTTTCGAGAGGCTTCTCATACCTCTTCTTAAAGCTATGCATGGATCCTATCACCTACTGCTTCATTCTCCAGGCTGTTCCATTTCCTGACTGCTATAAGGCTGAAGAAATACATTGTAACATCCCTGTGACTCATCTGTGTTTTCATCTTCCAGTTATACCCTCATGTTCCTGTTTCCCGTCTTTCAAACAATCTGTTCCTGTCCACCCTATCAAATCCTCTCAGTATTTTGTACATTGTTATCATATCACCCCACCCCTTTTCTCTAGTATTATCGGTCTAAGTTCCCTTCATATCCCCACATAGGACAGACATGCCCCTTAGCGTTGGGACTAATCTCATTGCAGACCTCTGCATTTAGGTACTCCTTAGCTCTGGGACTAGTCTGTTGCAAACTTTTGCACTTTCTCCAATTTCTAGACATTCTTGACAAGGTGTGGGTTTCATATTGGTGCTGCATACTCCAATATGGGCCTAATGCACACAGTATACAGTGTCGTAAATTATTCCTTACTTACATGTCTAAAAGGTAGTCTTAGATATACTAGAAGCACATTTGCTACAGCAGTTATTTGGCTGATGTACACCTCAGATGATATGCTTGGTACATTATTCACTCCAAGATCCTTCTTGAGGGAAGTTTGCAGCCTTTACTTCCCCCAAGCCTGTACTCTGTCTGTGGTCTTTTTTGCCCTTCCCCAAACTTCATAACTTTGCACTTGCTGCAGTTAAACCCCAGTAGCTATTTGTCAGATCAGACCTGCAGCCTGTCAAGACCTATTTGTAGCCATTCCTGGTCCACATCTGCTTGTATTCTTTTCATTAGTTTCACATCATCTACAAACAGGGATACCTCTGACTCCTTCCCATCCCTCATGTCATTCACGTATACAAGAAATTGTGTGTTCATGTTTGTATTTGTGTACATGCACACACATAAATAAAGGAAAGCAAGATACACACAGTACTAGAACATCTTCCAGGGAAAAATAAGGAGAAAAACCGTGGAAAATTAGACTACATACTGTATTGTATATATATCAACAGCTGCTTTATATATACAATACAGTATGTTTGGAGACTTACCATCTCATTCAACCTGTCTTGTTGGTGATATGAAAAGAATAATTACTAATGATAAATTTTTAATTCCATAAAAATTTTTTGGATAAAATTATTCAGAGGTTGTAGTGAGTTGCAAATAAATGAGATTAGATTTCATGTTGCTAATAATTCAAGAAATCTTGAGATTCTTTATGATGTCTTTTTGGATCATATACTGTATATGTATTGCCTTTATTATCTCAGCATGAGATATTACAGATAGATGGCCAAACTCATTGTCTGAACCAGGACAAAATATGCATTAAGATCATACAATATTTATGTAATAAATAATAAAGCTTCATAAAAATTGAAAAATTGTAATCTTGCTTCATTATTTTTGCAGGTTTTTGAATAATGTTTTAAGGCATTGTTTACCAAAATTTATATGGTTGAGTTTGTCCTTTCTCTCTGCAAGGGATCATGTACATATAATAATGTGTAAAAAAGTTTGCTTTTGTTACTCAGAAAAATAAACCTAATGTAATTAGAGTCACAGTGTCTTGAGTGTTCTATGATAACCTACATAGATAATGTTTATTAGTGAAATATTGAAAAAAAAAAATCATTGGGGATGGCCTTTATGCTTTATGAGTTTAGATTACATTTTTTACCTTTTGAGTGTTAGAATAGCTCATATACAATATTTATAGATTGTGATTTATATTACTATCTTTAGTATTTGCAGTTTTTAAATGTTGTGTTTGTTTACAGTGTGTTCCGGATATGCTTTATGCAATATTCATCCCCTCTTCCAGTAAATAGGTAAAGGTAAAGGTTGCGCTCTACTGTGAGTCTCCAAAAAAGGAGATGAGAAGTGAAAATAATTATTATTATTTATTATTATTATTATTATTATTAATATGTCAGAAAGGAATCAAAGGTTTTAATGGTTGACTATTATTATTAGTTATTTTGGTAAAATGTTTCAGGTACACAATTAATTTGACATGTTTAAGTTCTTCTCAAATTCCAGCAGTTATAATTAGGTATCCCTGATAAGGATACCAGATGGTTTAGTCATGTTTATTAAGAAATAATCCCTATAAGGATATACAGTATATCCCTACAGGGATTATTTTCTATGCCACTTTTGGGATATAGTAATAACTTGTGAATATCTTTTCAAATTTATTTAAAAATTACTGGCCCAGAGAGGCCCATTTTTTTTTTTTTTTATAGATTTAACTGCCCTAGTTTGTACTGTAAAAATTTTCATGTTTGTAACCCATCATAGTACATACTAGTTTTCAGTAGTAATTATGCTTTAAGTCTTCATTGGATGGTACATTTGGTCAGTATTTCAAAATCAGTCTTACAAAATGGTTTCAAGTTGCTTAATGTTTCCTAGTAATGTTATGTGCAGTTCTTTAAAAAATTTCAACCTTCTAATAAATTTATGAAAATTTATACAATATAATAAATTTGTACTTCACGTGAAGATAAAGCTGCCTCTTGGTAATTTTTATTATTAAATTGTCCCTTATCTTTGCTTCTGTGCAGGAAGTTTTTTATTAGTGTATCATCAAATTTATTACAGAGAAGGCTTATTAATAATCACAAATACTAATTAAATTATTGATAGCCATATACCACCCTGTGCACTATATTCTTAAGGTGTTCTTTGTAAACACACATCTGTACTTGCACTGATGATGAATTCTTTAGTATTTTGAATAGCTTATGGGAATTTTCTGTGGTGAAAATGGCTCTGTACTGAGTATAAGTGTGATGTACCTAGCCAGGATCAGAGAGGTGACTTTAGGCATGACTGAAACATGGTATAGTCCAGGTGGACTCCCCTGTTACAGAAAGGAACCTGCAATCAAAATAAAATTTGCTATTTTTACATACAGTATTTTAATATTGGACGGATATATAGGTATCCATTTATTATTCGATAACTCATTGCATTTGTGATTTCCATGAAACGTTATAAAATTTTTACAAGATAACTTTCCTGCTTGCACCCATAAAGATTTTGTAATATTTGCTAAATTACAGTATTCCAGTGTATGGCTTGGCAAATGTATATCACTAAGAAAAAGTGAAATACAGTTAGTTCATTATGGGTATATTGAAGGTTAAAGGACACAAGTGCAACTAATGTGACATTTTATTGTGGCAACGTTTCGCACTCCAGGAGCTTTATCAAGCCATTACAAACAATACATGGACACAGAGGGTATATAAAGGCTCAGAGTGAGGTGCAGTACTATATTTGTCCAACCTGTTTTTATGTTACCCAGGTAATAGCTTTTATATCCTTTTACTCATGTACGAATTAATTGCTCTACTACTACTACTACTACTACTACTACTACTACTACTACTACTACTACTACTACTACTACTACTACTACTAGTACTAGTACTAGTACTAGTACTACTACTACTACTACTACTACTACTGAACATCTAAATGGTACCTCACTAGTACTGCACCTCACTCTGAGCCTTTATATACCCTCTGTGTCCATGTATTGTTTGTAATGGCTTGATAAAGCTCTGGAGAGCGAAACGTTGCCACAATAAAATGTCACATTAGTTGCACTTGTGTCCTTTTATTTTACATATTGTCAGTAATTCTACCAACTTTATTACACTATATAGAAGTTGAAGGGAACACAAATAACAAGTCAGTAACAAGGGAAGAGAATGAATTGGAACACAAAGTCAATAACAGGACAGTATGGAGGTAAAAAAAAAAGTGGATAATAAATTGGTTGGCGCCTTCATGCTGTGTAGTTTGAACTTTATCAAAATTACTTCTATTTACTGAAATTTTCCAAACCTCACATACATATGTGCATATTTTTAAAATGTAAAATAAATATGTATATCCAGAACTGGAAGCAGTGCAAATTAGGAGGAGGTGCAGAGTTACTTAAAATGTTATCCAGAGGGCTGAGGAGGGGTTGTTGAGGTGGGTTGGACACTTAGAGAGGATGGAGCAAAATAGGATCACTTTGAGGGTGTATAAATCTGTGGTGGAGGGAAGGCAGGGTAGGGGTCACCCTAGGAAAGGTAGGAAGGGTGGGGTAAAGGTGGGTTTGTGTGCTAGGGACTTGGACAATCAGCAGATGTGTGTGAGCATGTTAGATAGGAGTGATTGGAGGCAAATGGTCTTTTGAGACTTGACAAGCTGTAGTGTGAAGGGATTCAGGAAAAATATCCAGTTAGACTTGAATCCTGGAGGTGAACGTGCAGTGCCTGCACTTTGAAGGGTGGGGATATTTGCAATTTGGAGGGGCATCTGAGCTGTAGTATTGGCAGGTCTCGGGCAAGACAGTGATAGAATGAATGATGGTGAGAGTGCTTCTTCTTTTGGGTCACCCTACTCTGATGGGAGACAGCTGGTATATTAAATAAAATAGTAATATGTACATAAATTATTATTATTATTATAGTAATACTGTACAATAATTGTACTACACAGAGTGCTACCTTGTTATTTGTTAAATTAGGTATCTAGAGGTGCTGTGAATCTTGAAAACACAGATAATAGAAAATTTTGCATGTAGTGCAAATTATTTAAAAGAATTTGCCCATATCTCTCTGAATAGTGCTCTAATTTGCCTAATATTAACATTGATAAGAAAGAATGACCATATTTTGAATGAGAGTTAACTAAGAATCTTTGTCTACTTTGTTATGTGTTTTGTCCTCTTATTGTTTCATTGACCTAGAGCTGTTGCTGAGGTTGGTGAAATTAACAGTTTTAATCATTGCCATTATTTATTTCATCCCCTAAGTGTACCCCTATAGACCCTTATAGAGTCCCCTTGGCTTACCTTTTCTTTCTGTTCTTACTACTCCCTCCCACCTTGGGAAATCTCTTTAGTCTAAGCCTACTTTTACATTTGGAAGTCTTACTTCTCTGCTTCAGACTTGTGTTCACTCTTCCTTTCATTATTCCAATGACACTCAGATGCCACTGGTGTGTACACTGCTGGCTCAGTCCCATGATCCAAGACTGACTGACTCTCTGTTGAACAGTGTCTTCATAGCAGAATTATGCCCATTGCTGCCATGCCCATCTCATCATTGGCAGTAGTCTTGGACTCTCAACTTACAATGGAAGCACTTCAAACCTCTGATACCTCCCATCCTTTGTTGTTCACATTTAACACTTGCTGTACTGCTTCTGTAGCAGATGCAAACTGTTTGTCCTTTTTTTTTTGTATCACTAAACCATGGTGGATTTCAAGGAAATAAAGTTGCTACTTCTTCAGCATGTTCCATAGTTGAGAACCAATTGATCTTCTACAATAGATTCTCACTAACTTAACATTGAAAGAATACCAACAGTGTCATCGAACCTACTTATTGACCAACAAACTATTTTATTTAAAACCACAATCCTTTAAGGTATTTTATATCAAACCACAATCCAACAAGCTATTTTATGTCAGACCAAAATCCAACAAGTTATTTTATATCAGACTACAACATGCTTTTCCAATCGCTACCAGTTGAGAAAATGGTATCTTTGTTTCTGCATGTAGGTGACACTAGACAAACACATGGTCATTTCTTGGATGGATGCATGACACTGCACCACCAACATCAGATGTCTTTTCAGTCTTTTGTAAACCTGGTTTATAAGTTGTCTCATTCCTTTTTTTTTTAAATAATATGTAAATCTAATCCTAGTTTTTAAACAACTGATTTTTTTTAAACTATGTATTATGAACTTTATCACAGTAGCTTTAATTTTTAAATCAGCTTTTATTTTCAAAATTAATAAAATTGCAAAGTGTGTTCCTCGCTTTATCTTACAACAAATTTATATTTAAATTTTGTTCCTAGTTTTTTAGACTAAAATTGTTAAATATAATATTAATTAGCTTTATTATTGTTTAAATATTGTTAATGTTTATTTTTAGACACCCTGAGTGAGTTAATATTACTTTTTTAACAAATACAACTCTAGCTCTGTTAATATCTTTAGTAACAGTATAGTTTTAGATTTGTTATACCCAAAATTTTATGCATTCCAATAGTAATGCATTTTTCTCATTGTACAGTACTTACTCATATTGTAAAGCATGAAAATCGCACATTATAAATATGCATTTAGAAAATAATTTTTTTTTTTATTAATTACAGTGGTACCTCAAGTTTCGGCCATAATTCATTCCAGAAGGCTGTTCGAGTGCCGTTACCGAGCGAATTTGTTCCCGTAAGGAATAATGTAAATTGGATTAGTCCATTTCAGACCCCTAAAAATACATTTACAAAAGCACTTACAATAATACACTTACATAATTGTTCGAGTTGGGAGCTGTACGAAACTCGGGGTACCACCGTATAAGTTACAGTATATACCACCTTGGATTACTACATAGGGGTTTTGTGGAGTATAGTACAGTTTATTTGATTTATTCACATTAGATAGGAATAGGAATAGGGTGTGTAGGAGAGAGGGAGATTACTTCTCGGTAAAAGTAGGTCTTAGACAGGGATGTGTAATGTCACCATAGTTGTTTAACCCTTTCAGGGTCCGTCCGTAGATCTATGGCTTTACGGTGAGTGTCCAAACCGTAGATCTACGCCATGAGCTCAGCTCACTCTGATAAACTGTGAGTGGTACATTTGGCCTAGATATGAGAGAATACATCTATGTGGTATGTGTGCACCAACATAAAACAGATCCTGCAGCACACTGTGTATAATGAGAGAAAAAAACTGAAATCATGATTTTTCGATTAAAACAGCGACTTTGCAGTGTTTTTTCGTATGTTTTTTATAGTTGTATTTGCGATTTCTTTGGTCTCATTTGATAGAATGGAAGACTATATTACAGAAATAGAGATGATTTTGATTGGTTTTAGCACTGGAAATGGCTTGAAACTGAGCTCAAAGTAGCGGAAATGTTAAATTTTTGCTGATATTCAAGAGTAAACAAACGACCTCACACATCTAATACACGTCAGCTGGTGGGTCTAATATACATTCACAAATATGGTGATGATATTTATACAATTATTACAGTATTGCATAACAGTAAATCTTCTATTTTTTGGTTGTGAATAAAAATTCATTATGTGAATAAAAATCAAAATGGAATTTATTTGTAAAGCCTCAAAATGTAACTAATGAACAGAGGAAATGTTAGTTTAGTTCCAGGAATACCTACATTGTTTATTCTGGAGCCTATTTTGAAATTGGAGTATTTTGAACTTTGTGTTAAATTGGCCAAATTAACAATTTCCGATCACTTTATTTTGTAGTTGAAACAGTTGATTTGGCGATTTCTTGTGCTCAATTGATAGAATAGAAGTAATACTAGTGAAATAGCTAAGAATTTGGTTGATTGGAATAATGTAATTGGCCTAAAATGGGAGTCAAAGTCGGCAAAATCGCCGACTCGTAAATATCGCTGACACATCAAAATTCGCGAGAGCATAATTTCGTCAATTTTCCACCAAATTTCGTACTTTTTGTTTTATTACCTTCACAAAAAGATTCTCTACGATTTCATAAGAAAAAATAACAAATTTTTTTTTTTTAAATTCTTGGACACGGGTGCGTGACTTCAGATTTTGGCCTTGGACCCTGAAAGGGTTAATATATTAATTGATGGGGGTTGTGAAAGAAGTAAATGCTAGGGTGTTGGGGAGAGGGGTAGGATTAAATTATGGGGAATCAAATACGAAATGGCAGTTGACACAGCTACTTTTTGCTGATGATACTGTGCTTATGGGTGATTCTAAAGAAAAGGTGCAAAGGTTAGTGGACGAGTTTGGGAGGGTGTATAAAGGTAGAAAGTTGAAAGTGAACATAGATAAGAGGAAAGTGATGAGGGTATCAAACGATTTAGATAAAGAAAAAAATGGATTTCACATTGGAGAGAGGGAGTATGGAAGAAGTGAATGTTTTCAGATATTTGTAAGTTGACGTGTCAGCGAATGGGTTTATGAAGGATGAGGTTATCATAGAATTGATGAAGAAAAAAAGTGAGTGGTGCGTTGAGGTATTTGTGGAGAGAAATACGTTATCAGTGGAGGCAAAGAAGGGAATGTATGAAAGTAGTGGTACCAACACTCTTATATGGGTGTGAAGCTTGGGTTGTAAATGCTGCAGTGAGGAGGTGGCTGGAGGCAGTGGAGATGTCCTGTCTAAGGGCAGTGTGTGGTGTAAATATTATGCAGAGAATTTGAAGTGTGGAAATTAGGAGGTGTGGAGTTAATAAAAGTATTAGTCAGAGGGGTTGTTGAGGTGGTTTGGTCATTTAGAGGGAATGGATCAAAGTACAATGACTTGGAGGGCGTATAAATCTGTAAGGGAAGGAAGGCGGGGTAGGGGTCGTCCTCGAAAAGGTTGGAGGGAGGGGGTAAAGGAGGTTTTGTGGGCGAGAGGCTTGGACTTTCAGCAAGTGTGCATGAGCATGTTAGATAGGAGTGAATGGAGACGAATGGTTTTTGGGACCTGACGAGCTGCTGGAGTGTGAGCATGGTAATGTTTAGTGAAGGGATTCAGGGAAACCGGTGATTTTAATATATGTACATATATCCGGACTTGAGTACTGGAAATGGGAAGTACAATGCCTGCACTCTAAAGGAGGGGTTTCGGGATATTGGCAGTTTGGAGGGATATGTTATATCTTTATACACCTACCATCCGACTTACGACCGAGTTCGGTTCCGAGAAACCAGTCGTAAGTCGAAATGGTCGTAAGTCGAACTTTACTACTGAATATCAACAAAACATTTTTGTAATGACTTTATTTTATTGTTTTATTTTGGTATTTCATGTTTTACTTTACTTTTTATGTTGTTAGTACTGTATTTCATACTGTAAGGTTTAGGATAAATATTGTGTACAACACAAATAGTTGTTTATTTCCCAGAAATTTGGCATAAAAAACACGGTCGTAAGTCGAGTGGTCGTAAGTCGAGCAGGTCGTAAGTCGGATGGTAGGTGTAAATGCTTCTGAACTGTTGTATCTGGGCACCTCTGCAAAGACAGTGATTATGTATGAGTGAGATGAAGTGTTGAATGATGATGAACGTATTTTCCTTTTGGGGATTTTCTTTCTCTTTGGGTCACCCTGCCTTGGTGGGAGACGGCCGACTTGTTGAAAAAAAAAAAAATAATGTCGTCAAACTGGAGTATTACCAACTTTTGGTGATGGATGTGTTTGGCAAGGCTGAATGCATTTTGTAAGAACCCATTATTTTTTCCACTAGTTGGGTATTTTCAGCTCACAGAATTTTAGATGAAATAGGTTCTAGCGTGTGGGTGATTATCAGTTTAATTATGGTGCTTGATGAATGAGGCATTTGCAATATTTTGGTATCTTTATTGCTAAAACACAGTAGGCTTCTTCAGTTGGATACAGACAAAACTGATAGTGGAGACTAGCAGTGATTTTTAGGTGATCAGTCCCTCAGCTTTGATAGGAAGTGGTCAGATCACCTCAGAATTACTTTACTGTCTGAAGAAGCTTGCAGAGCAGGCAAAACATTTTTATAGTAAAGGTACCCAGGTATTGCGTATGTGCTAATTCATCAAACTGTCAGTATTGTATACCATCACTAATGTGATTATAGTACTTGTAGCTAACAGGAACAGATCTGTGCTGAAAAGTACTATTTGGAAGATTTTATTGTTTTTCGCTGTAGTTACTGTACGTTTTATTCATGCAACAGCTATAGTGACTGCAGAGGTCTTTTGTTCAGACTTTTTCACAGTGGATCATAGCTGTGTCAGTCTTTTCTACCATGTTTCTATTACTCACACAGTCTTACACTTCAAGTAGTTAAAATGTTTTGGGAAGATCCTATGCGAGGCTACTCCTTCAAATAGTATATTCCGGGAGAACACAGGCATCAGAGATATATATGTACTGCACATGAAATGTAACACACTGTAGCTTCGATGTGAGGCCTTGCCTTCAAGGATATTGTAGTTATTGAGGGAACATAGGCAGCAGAGATGTGGTTGTGCATTGTTACTGTAATTAGGGGGAAGTGCTAAACTTATAGGGTTCATACAGCATGTAGAGAATGGAATTAGGTTTGATCCAAGGAAGGAGGAGATTGATTCACTTCCTTGGATCAAGAGCCCTTCCTCACCAGAAACTGTGGCTATATAGGACATTTATTCTATATTCACTCCAGAAGGCTGTTTGAGTATCGAACAAGTTCTTCCCAACCAATTTTCTGTTTGGTTGGCTCTTACCACTAATCATCATAGGCCCCATGGTGACTTAATTATACGAATAATACAAAAAACACCAAAAAATGTGAAGAAATATGAAATAGTTTACAGCGTAGTTCTGGAAGGTCATATTTGTTTAGTCGAGTGCTGAGCTTTGTTCGAGTAGGAAGCTGGTCGTATACCGAGGCTCCACTGTATACTATAAATTCTACAAGAGGCTACTCATTCAAGGATGGCATAGTCCAGAAAGGAACACAGACATCATGGATGTAGATGTAGAGGAAGGCCCTGTTTATTTAGTAGGTTAGGCTCCAGGCTACTGCTGTAAACTGAAAATTGTTGTAAAGTGAAACATAGCCTTTTTTCACTTTCAGATCCTTATAAAAACCTGATATGTTTACACTATCATATAATAATTGAGCAGTAGAGTCAGACGTAAAAAAAATCAATGCAAATACAGGACACACATTACTTATTTAAAATATTTTCTTCTTTAGCTTATAGTGAGTGGTGAATATATTTATTGTAGGAAGTCTGAATAAATGAAGAATGGGTATAATTGAAAACTGCTGTATTAGCAAAACACCATAAAGCAAAGTGCTATAAAATGGGGCCTTCCTGTACATGAAATGTGGTAGATCATCAAGACTTACTGCAGTTAAGACCAAAACTAGAGCCATTGGTATAATAACTGAATTCTCTTTAATTTATAAATGAAGCCAGCCATTCTTACCACGTTGTTAAATATGACTTTTACGGTTTATTTTTTTCATTATTATTACTTCAGATTAAAAATGGGTGTAATGTCAATTTTTTAATGTAGTAAATAGTGATGCACATCTCCATGGGAAAGTAGAACAGAATTCTTCCTCTAAGTCATTCATGTCGTAAGAGGTGACTAAAATCCCAAGAGCAAGGGGCTAGTAACCCCTTCTCCTGTATACATTACAAAAGTTAAAAAGAAAAACTTTTGTTTTTCTATTAGGGCCACCCTGCTTTGGTGGGATATGGCAGGTTTGTTGAAAGAAGAAAGAAATAATGATGCACATGATATGTATATCACAGGGAATCTTGCATCTTAATGCTAATACAGTGGTACCTCAGGATACGAACGGCTCAAAATGCGAACAATTATGCAAGTGTATTTATTTAAGTGCTTTTGTAAGTGTATTTTTGGGGGTCTGAAATGGATTAATCTAATTTACATTATTCCTCATAGGAACAAATTCGTTCGGTGTCGGCACTCGAACAGCCTTCTGGAACGAAATAAGTTCGTATCCCAAGGTACCACTGTATTAAGAAACTACATCACAATATAATTATGACCCAGCGGCACTCTGTGATGTATTGAGTTATTGTTCCAAGTACAAGTTATAATTTATTTTACTGGGTATCTATTATAAAATATTATGATAAAGGTCAGGGGTGTCTTCATTCACTTCTTTGTTTACTCAAAAGTACTGTGAATCCTTGCTGCATCTTACAGACGGTCCTCATCCTCAACCTCTACTGTAACCCCCAGAATTCTGCCAAATCAGCTGATGGATCCCACTGTAAGTAAATTAATAATTATTTCTTATCATTGCTGTCACAGTGTAATATAACAAACAGTGAATTATTTAAATCATTTGTTACTGAACATTTAGTTACCTAGTTTAGTTTCACCTAATTTTTTCATTACTCAAATTGTTTCCTATCCAACTCTCTCTTTCCCCATCTGTTTATTCTTTATGCTCTTGATGTATACAGTGGAACCTCAAATATCGAACTTTCTTCGGTCCAGAAGGCTGTTCGAGTGCCTTTACCGAATGAATTTATTCCCATCAGGAATAATGTAAATTAGATTAGTCCATTTCAGACCCTCAAAAATACACTTATAAAAGCACTTACAAAAATACACTTACATAATTGGTCGTGTTGGGAGCAGTTCGATTTTTGAGGTTCCACTGTATTTCTTTCATCCAATTGTTCTTGAAAAAGTCCCCCCCCCCCCCCCCCCCAAAAAAAAAAAAGGTTGAATATTATTTCTAAACTGTTGTATTCTGGGCACCTCTGCAAAAACAGTGATCATGTGTGAGTGAGGTGAAAGTGTTGAATGATGATGAAAGTATTTTCTTTTTGGGGATTTTCTTTCTCTTTGGGTCACCCTGCCTCGGTGGGAGACGGCCGACTTGTTGAAAAAAAAAAATGAGTTGATTCCCAAGAAAACAGTACTGAAATAATTTTTGTCCTGTATATCTCAGCTTATATACTGTATTTCTGTCAACTTAATTTTATGTACAAAAAGTCCTGATTTTACATTGGCCTGCATAAAACTAATCTGTCATTATGACTCAGTATTTGATTATTTTATATACACATTATTCTGTGGTACACTTACTCTGTAAGCAGGTGAGGAGGCTAATTATTATGCTTTTTTGTATTATTTCTGTTATTACTAGAACACTTCAATTATGTGAGTGTGTAAGGCTAATGCAGGAGTAACTAATATAGATGGTTCAATATTAGAATAAGAGACTAGAAGACAAGTGATGTGAGGTGATTACAAATTAAGGTGGGCTGAGTCTCTCAAACCCCTAATCTTATTGCAAAAGTTTAACCTACTCTCCATTTTCTTTTGTAATAAGTTCAAGGGATTAATAATTATGACCGAGCTCACCTTAACTTGTGATCCCCTTGTCACTTGTATTTTGTGTATAATTACTACTATTACTTTTCTCTCACTTCTTTATGATGTAAGGCCGCACAGCTCATCAGTTAATTGCTGTTGAAGAAACAGTAATAGTGACACTACAATGTTTATGTTGTTTTATGGTATACTCTACTGTATTCCTTTCCTCAGGGATTCTGTTTCCTCATCATAGTGTTGCCTTTATTTATTATTGCATATATTGGTGTTAGTGGATGTGATAATTAAAGAAATTGACTTAAGTTAATATACAGTAATGCAAAATTAACCCTTTGACTGTTTCAGGCCCCTCTCTGAAACTGTCATTCTATGTTGCTCAATTTTTGAAAAAAAAAAAAAAAAATATTTTTTCTTATGAAATGATAGAGAATCTTTTCCCGATGGTAATGACACCAAAAGTTCGAAATTTGGTTGAAAACTCATGGAATTATGCTCCCGCGAATTTAGCGGTCTCGGCGACATAAGCGTATCGGCGATTTTGCCGACTTTGAGCCCTATTTTCAGCCAATTCCATTGTTCCAGTTGACCAAACTCATAGCTATTTCTTTAGAACTCCATTTTATCTATCAGCTGAGTACAAGAAACCTCCCATTTACTAATTTGGACTACCCAATATGGTGGTCAGAAATTGGCAATTTGGCCAATTTCTCGCAAACTAAAAAAGATGCCAATTTCAAAATAGGGTCCAGAATAAACAAGGTAGACATTCGTGGCACTAAAATAACATATGCTCTGTTCGTTAGTCACATCTCTAGGCTCCTCTTATATTATTATTGCTTTCTATTTTGATTTTTTATTCATACAAAAAAATACAAAATTTACTGTTATGCAGACTACTGCATTATTGTAAAAATGGTATAAATAATATCAGTGCACTAGTGAAAGAATATTAGACTCCCCAGTTGACGTGTATTGGACGTGTGGTGTGATTTATTTACTCCTGAGCATTGGTAAAAATCGAACATTTCCGCTACTTTGAGCTCAGTTTCAAGGTCGTTTTCATCGTCAAAGTAATGAAAATCATCTCTATTTCTGTAATATGTTTTCCATTTTATCACCTAAGACCATGAAAATGTGAATACAATGATAAATACTATACGAAAATACACCTCAAAGTTGGCGTTTTATTCCAAAAAAACTATCAAGAGTTTTTTTTTTCTCATTACGCAATGTGTGCTGCAGGATTTTTTTTATGTGGTGCACACTGACCACACAGACCCATTCTCTCACATGTGGGCCTACCAGCTTTCTCCCACTTGATTTGAAGCCGCTAGAATTATTGAGTATACAGTGGACCCCCGCATAACGATCACCTCCGAATGCGACCAATTATGTAAGTGTATTTATGTGAGTGCGTTTGTACGTGTATGTTTGGGGGTCTGAAATGGACTAATCTACTTCACAGTATTCCTTATGGGAACAAATTCGGTCAGTACTGGCACCTGAACATACTTCTGGAGTGAAAAAATATCGTTAACCGGGGGTCCACTGTATATACGTCAGAAACATTGGCTCGTAAGACGTATTTATACGTCGAAAACAGTCAAAGGGTTAAATTGGTTGTTATGAGGGCAGGTTGCCTCAGTTGACTTCCTTTTGTCAAACAGTTAAAGCATTTTAGTAAAAAAAAAAAAAAAAAGACAAATAGCATTGTTCATTCTTCTAAGATTAGTGTTTCTTTCTTTGTGAAAAATAGTTTCTGCCTGGAGCATATACCTAATATATAAACATGTAAGCCTATTGGAAAATATGTTTTATGCTACTCTTATTATGCATTACACATTTTTTTTTCCAGGATTCAGTTAGTGTAAGGTGAGGAATCTCAGTATAATGTATTGTTAATCAACTCTTTTATTATGTACTGTACTATACAGGAGGGCCCTGCTTCAGAGCGCTTCACTTTACGGCAGTAGCCCAGAACCTAACCCGCCATATAAGCAGGGCCCTCTTGTATAAATATACATCATTACTTAGAAAAGTCTGTCAAAATTGGTCAAGTGGGTCAATACTCTCAAGAAACTGACATATAATTTTTCAGAAACCAGAAATCTACTAGTACGGCCTCGATAACAAGAATGCTGGTTTTAAAGCATTTACTGTATCCTGTTTTGATTAGCAATTTGCATAATTTCGAAATTATATTTTTACTTATTAACATTAATACAGGGTTCCTTCACTTTGCGAGGATTCACTTTATGTAATTTCACTTATACATGTACATGTGTGTTGCCGTCATGTCTTTACCAAGAATTCGCTGTGTGCAGTAAAAATTTGCTCATGTAGTCAAAGCGTGTGATTGTTTTGAGCTTAGCGTCGTTATGAGGCTTATGAAGGGCCATCTGTGTGATATCTCTTGATCACTCTAAACTGGTTTATATTGACATTCATAAGAAACACTTAGGGAAAAATAGATTTGGGTGTGTTAATCGAGTAAGCCTGAGTGAAAGCTTATGGATGGTTTTCAATTTAAGTGTCTTATGCAGAAAGATAATGGACAAAGTAGTGTTTATGGGAAGGAAGGGAGGAAAGGGGTAAAAGGGAGGAAAATTTTAATTGAAATTTGAATTAATTTTGTCTTTTTTTTTTTTTATTAGTTGAATTTATTCTTGTTATATTGCCATTTGGTGCCTGTCTCGTTTGCTCATAATTTTATGGCAAAAATAAGTAAAGAAATGTGGAGATTTTTCACAATTTTGTATTGTATTGAGATTACAATAGAACTCCGGATTTCGTCCTAAATCCATTCCAGAAGGTCGTCTAAATCCAAACAGGACGAAAACCCAAAAATATTAACAAAAAATACATTTTTTAAAGAATAACTAGTTTTACATATAGAAAACAATGAGAAAGAAATGTAAATGACTAATGAAATGGATAAATGAACATTTAACATCACATTTACCTTTATTGAAGATTCTTGTTGGGGTTTGGACGGCAAGGAGGGGAGAGGGGGGAGGAGCAGAGGTTATTGTTTGGAAGGGGAATCCCCCTCCACAAAGACTTCTGGTATCAATGCCCTGTCCGAGGTTATTTCCCTTTTTTGTCTTTTAATGGCACTGGATCCCTGTCGCACTAAAAATCTGTCCAGAGAGCTCTGTTTCTTGCGTCTCTAAGATTTTCCTAAAATCGGACAAGGTATTGTCACTGAATATGTTGCAGATATGGCTTGTATCAGCTTGGTCAGGGTGATATTTTTCCGCAAAAGTTTGCACTTCATTCCACTTTGCACAAATGTCCTTAACCCTTAAACTGCCCAAACAGATCTACATTCACATGCATAGTGCTCCAAAAGTAGATCTACGTTTTTTTACATATTTTCAAATATAACAAAAAAAAACGTAGATCAAAGTTTTTTTGCACATTTTCAAATGTAAAAAAAAAAAAAAGAAGCTCTACGTGTTTTTACATACTTTCAAATGTTGAAAAAACGTAGGTCTACGTGTGGACAGTTTAAGGGTTAATCACCGAAGAAGGCACCTTCTCCCTTCTCTCTTCCTCCTCCTCTGAAGCAATTTCCTCAGCTGTGGTCTGTTGCTGTTCCAGATGAAGTTCTTGCAACTTTTCAATGGTTAGCTCTTCCCTGTGGTCCTCCACCAACTCTTCCACATCCACATAAGTCCTCTTTGGCATTTTCTTCCAAAAGAGGCCTGTTTCATCACAATTGAAGACTTGTTGGGGAATGATTCCTTCAGCCTCTACGTACTCCTTGAATTCATCAACGAATTCTTCAGCCACATGTTTGTCTGAAGTTGCAGCCTCACTATGCGTTACAACACTGTGTATGCCACTGCGCTTCTTGAATCTGCCGAACCAGCCTCTGCTGGCCTTAAATTCACTAACAGCAGCACTCGTTCCAGGCATTTTCTTTATGAGATCCGCATGCAACTGCCTTGTCTTTTCGCAAATGAACGACTCCACAACACTATCTCCCGCTAACTGTTTTTTTGTTGATCTACACCAACAACAACAACTCAGCATCTTCGATTGTTTGTGGTCTCTGTTTTATTAGCATATTTACCCCTTTTGCAACATCAGCTTCCTTGATTTCTATTTCTTTGCCAGGATGGAACTGATTTTTTATTTGGACTTGCCATACATCCTGGCGAGCTCGGCCACACGTATGCCACTTTTGTATTTTTCTACAATCTCTTTCTTGAATTCTATTGTGTTTCTTACCTTCTTTACCAAAGGGCTGGCACTAGGAACTTACTTTGGGCCCATGGTGGCTTATTTTGCAGTCGCACTCGATAAACAAGCACAAAAACAGTGGATTATTACAAAATGTTTTGGATGAACGTGCAAAATAATGCTCACTCAACCAGTGACAGAGCCAGACTGAGACACGTATGCATGAGTGGCGGCATCCTGGGCAGGTGGATGCATCTGATGGACGATTTCTGGGTGGAGGTACGAAATCTGGAGCAAAATTTAGCCCAAAAAAGTGGTCTAAATACAAAACATGCGATATTCACTGTGGATGAAATCCAGGGTTCCACTATATGATTGAGTTTTTTTTTTTTTTTTTTTTTTTTTTTTTTTTTTTTTTTTTTTTTTTTTTTTTACAATTTATTTTCATTTTTTTTTTTTTTGTATATGTTTAATTTTGTGCACATGTTGCAAGCTCATATTTTTTTAATAATCATTAGTCAAAAATGTGGAATTTACTAAGTCTCAGAACAAATATCTGTGTTTTGCTTGTTATAATCGAGTTTACTTTTTGCACCATAGACTAGGAACACATTTATTGCATATAGTAAAAGGAGACCTGTACTACAGTTACTCTAGTCCTTGAAAGAATTGCCATTTTTTGTATTTTATGACATGAACATATATTTTTTTTTTCCAAACTTTTGAGAATGTTTGGCAATTGGAAATTTGATATTGTATGTATATTTTATGAAAAGATCTGTGTTGGCTTGTTATAATGTTTTTTTTTTTGCTTTGAGTGTGTGATACTTGCTAAAACATGGCTCATTCACTTTTTTATATTCTTATTTCTAATTGGAAAGGAATAGCAGCAGTTTTTTATACATTAGCCAAACGAATATACAGAACTCTCCAGCAATTATTCCATGCATGGAAGGCAAGTTATTGTAATGATTAGGCAATACCTTTGTATGCAGCATCTCATAGGTATACATAATATAGATATATAAACTTATATTTTAGATTATTCAGGATACTAAGCTAATTATGAAAATAATATTTTCAGCAACAGTTAGTGATGAAGAAATGCAAGAGCACTATGATAACTTTTTTGAAGAGGTATTTGTAGAGTGTGAAGATCGCTATGGAGAAATTGAGGAGATGAACGTTTGTGATAACCTTGGTGATCACCTAGTAGGCAATGTTTACATCAAGGTTAGAAAATTTCAGTTGTTTATAAGGACTCTATTTACAGTTGCAGTATATAGGATATATTCAAATTAATTTTACCTTATTTTTAAAAAATGAAAATATTATCATAGTAATGTACTGTGTACTTTGTTTATGTAATGGTACAACGAAGGTTCCACAAATGCTATGCTTTTATTTGCTAACTTTGGTAATTTATGAAAGGTGTTAACCTGCAGGATTTAAGACTGAATTTTAAATTTTATTTTTCTGCAGCTTTCATCAAATGCCTTTTTTTGTATATGTTTATTTTATGAGTTCTGAGCTTATATATATTTTTTAAACACATGTGATCAATATATGTGATAGTTTGGTTTTCATTTTTTGAAAGGTTATATTAAAAAAATACTGAACTATAAAAAATAGGCACAGTACTGTGACTGGAACAATGAAAAAATAACCTTCACATAAGAAACTTAAAACTTATGACAATGTTTTGGTCCAGTTTGACCTAGTTAATGGTCCATACCAGACCAAAATGTCATCATAAGTTTCAGTCTCCTATGTGCTGGTTATTTGTGTATTGAACCATAGCTTTGGTGCCCAAGGCCTAGACCTAGAAATGCATTTTCATAAAGTTTTGTTTTTTAACAGTTTAAATATGAAGAGGATGCAGAGAAGGCAGTTGTAGACCTGAATAACCGTTGGTTTGGAGGACGGGCAATTAATGCAGAGCTGAGCCCAGTGACTGATTTCCGTGAAGCCTGTTGTCGTCAGTATGAAATGGGGTAATATCAAATTTCGTTCTTGGCCTGTTCTCCACAAAAGAATCAGTTCGATAGCTTCTTGCTTTATAGTTGGTAATTCAGTACAAATTATGATTAATGCTGTTGATGCTTTAAACCCATTTAAACTATGAGTTTCTTGTATTATACCTGGTCATGGAAATGGTGATAGGTTCTTCTCACCATTTCCAGTATATATACATACTCCTTTGCTATAAAATGATAAAAAAAATATAACACAAAAGAAAATAATAGATGCAAAATGTGGTTGTAGCTCCAAATAACACCCATTATATATTTAGGAGAATTAGTAGATGGGAAGTTAGAGGTATTGGGAAGATGGAGGGGAATATTTTGAAGAACTGTCAAATGTTGATGAAGAGAGGGAGGCAGTGATTTCATGCATTGGCCAGGGAGGTATAATATCTTTTAGGAGTGAAGTAGAGTCAGATGTGAGTGTGGGGGAGGTGCATGAGGGGTAAAGCAGCTTTAACAGATGGGAACATGGCAGAAATGATAAAAGTGGGTGGGGATATAGTTTTGGAGCGGTTGGTACTTTTGTTCAATAAATGTATAAAAAAGGGGAAGGTACCAAGGGACTGGCAGAGAACATGCATAGTTCCTTTATATAAAGGGAATGGGGACAAAAGAGTGTAAAATTTATAGGGAAGACTCCTACTGAGTATACCTGGTAATGTGAGTGGTATAGCTATTATTGAAAGACTTAGAGGTAAGACAGAGAGCAAGATTGCAGATGAACAAGGGCTTAGAATGGATAGGGGATGTGTAGACCAAGTATTTATATTGAAGCATATAAGTGAACAATATTTAGATAAAGGTAGGGAAGTTTTTGTTGCTTTTATGGATTTAGAAAAGGCATATGATAGGGTTCTAGGTAGTAGGTTGGTAGACACAACCGCCCAGGGAGGTACTACCGTCCTGCCAAGTGAGTGTAAAACGAAAGCCTGTAATTGTTTTACATGGTGGTAGGCTTGCTGGTGTCCTTTTTTCTGTCTCATAAACATGCAAGATTTCAGGTACGTCTTGCTACTTCTACTTACACTTAGGTCACACTACACATACATGTACAAGCATATATATGTATATATACACATCTCTCTGGGTTTTCTTCTATTTTCTTTCTAGTTCTTGTTCTTGTTTATTTCCTCTTATCTCCATGGGGAAGTGGAACAGAATTCTTCCTCCGTAAGCCATGCGTGTTGTAAGAGGCGACTAAAATGCTGGGAGCAAGGGGCTAGTAACCCCTTCTCCCTTATAAATTACTAAATTTAAAAAGAGAAACTTTCGTTTTTCTTTTTGGGCCACTCTGCCTTGGTGGGATACGGCCGGTTTGTTGAAAAAAAAAAATATGATAGGGTGGATTGGGGAGCAATGTGGCAGATGTTGCAAGTGTATGGAATAGGTGGTAAGTTACTAAATGCTGTAAAGAGTTTTTATGAGGATGGTGAGGCTCAAGTTAGTGTGTGTAGGAGAGAGGGAAATTATTTTCCAGTAAAAGTAGGTCTTAGACAGGGATGTGTATTGTCACCGTGTTTGTTTAACATATTTATAGATGGGGTTGTAAATTCAATAAATGCTAGGGTGTTGGGGAGAGGGGTGGGATTAAATTATATGGATTCAAATACAGAATGAGAGTTGACACAGTTACTTTTTGCTGGTGATACTATGCTTTAGGGAGATTCTAGAGAGAAGTTGCAAAGGTTAGTGGATGAGTTTGGGAGGGTGTGTAGAGGAAGACCATGGAGGCAAGGAAGGGAATGTATGAGAGTTTAGTAGTACCAACAATCTCGTATGGGTGTGAGGCATGGGTTGTGAATATTGCAGCAAGAGGGATGCTGGAGGCAGTGCAGATGTTGTGTGTAAGGACAGTGTGTGGCTTAAATATTATGCAGAGAATTTGTAGTGTGGAAATTAGGAGGAGGTGTGGAATTACTAAAAGTGTTGTTCAGAGTGCTGAGGAGGGGTTGTTGGGGTGGTTTGGTCATTTAGAGAGGATTGAGCAAAATAGGATGACTTGGAAGGTGTATAAATCTACAGTGGAGGGAAGGAGGGGTAAGGATTTTCCTCTTGGTCATACAGCAGGCATGTGTGGGTGTGTTAGATAGGAGTGACTGGGGACTAATGGTTTTTGGAATTTGAGCTGTTGGAGTGTGAGCAGGGTAATATTTTGTGAAGGGATTCAAGAAAACTGATTAGCCGGATATGAGTCCTGGAGGTGGGAAATACAATGTGTGCACTTTAAAGGAGGAGTTTGGGATATTTGCTGTTTGGAGTGACATCTGAACTGTCATATCTGTGTGCCTCTGTAAAGACAGTGATTGTGTGAATGATGGTGAAAATGTTTCTTTTTTGGGTCACCCTGCCTTGGTGGGAGATGGCCAGCGTGATGAAAAAAAAAATACTTAGATATTTGGGCATAGATATATCAGCAAATGGGTCTATGAAAGATAAGGGGAGAAAAGGTAGGTAGTGTGTTATGGCTTATGGGGAAAGTTAGTTTATGGAGGCAAAAAATGGAATTTACCAGAGTATGGTGGTAATGCTTTTATATGGGTGAGGCATGGGTTTTGAATGTTGCAACAAGAAGGATAGGGGCAGTGGAGATGTTTAGGAGAACAAGGTGTGATGTGAATGTTATGCAAAGAATTCAGAGCATAGAAATTAAAAGACTGTGTGAGGCCACCAAGGGTATAATTCAGTACTGTGGGGTTCTTGAAGTGGGTTGGGAAGTTAGAGAGGATGGAGAAGGATAGAATGACAGAGCACATATAGATCTGGGATTGAAGGTAAGAAGGGTAAGGAACAATTGAAGGATGTGGGCATGGGTGGTTCTGAGTGGCAGGGGTTTGATTATTATAATAATCAAAATGAAGTACTAAACCCACTAGGGTTATACAGCCGGCAGGGGTTTGAGCATCCATCAGACGTATTACAGTGCGAGTGGAGACAAGTGATTCTTAATGGATGCCCTACCGGAGTGTGAACAAGGTAACATGTATGAAAGATTTAGGGAAGCTGGTTAGCTGGACTAGATTCCTGGTGGTGGGAAACACAGTGCTTGCACTCTGGAAGAGGGGTAGGGTTGTTGCAGTTTGGATTATCATCTGAATTGTGATGTTAGCACATTTCTAGAAAGACTGATTGAACAAATGATGATGAATGTGTTTTTTTGTTTGGGTCATCCTGCCTTAGCAGCAGATGGCCATTGAGGAAAAAATTTAATAGCCACTTTGGACGGTAGTACCAGGGACAGTAGTACCATCCTGCCAAGTGAGTGTGAAACAGAAACCTGTAACTGCTTTACATGATGGTAGGATTGCTGATGTCTTTTTTCTGTGTCATAAATGCACTGGATAACAGATATATCTTGCTACTTCTACTTACACTTAGGTCACACTACACAGGCACGCACATGCATATATGTATATACATAAACACATCTAGGTTTTTCTTCTTTTTCTTAACAGCTCTTGTTCTTCTTTATTTCCTCTGTTCTCCATGGGGAAGTGGAAAGGAATCTTTCCTCCATAAACCATGCGTGTCATATGAGGCGACTAAAATGCCGGGAGCAATGGGCTAGTACAGTAGAACCTCGGTTTTGGTCATTAATCTGTTCCAGAAAGTCTGACGAAAACCGAATTCAACGAAAACTGAAGCAATATTTCCCTTAAGATATAATGTAAATCCAATCAATCCGTTCCAGACACCCAAAATTATTAACAAAAAATACATTTTATAGAGAATAACTATAGTTTTACATACAGAAAACAGTAAGAAATAAATATAAAGGACTAATGAAATGGATAAGTGAACATTTAACATCACTTTTACTTTTATTGAAGATCTTGTTGGCGTATGGAAGACGGCAAGGAGGGGAGAGGGAGGAGAGGTTACCTCTACCACCATCACTACTACCCTCTACCACAATCCTACCACCATCATAACCACTACCGCCAGTAGTGGTCCGCTGTACCGAATGTGTCGGTACAGCGGACCACTGTCAACTTGACGAAAACTGAGGTGATGAACGAAAACTGGGACAAAATTTTGACAAAAAGAGTCGTCGAAAACTGAATTCGACAAAAACCAGGGCAAACAAAAACCGAGGTTCCACTGTAACCCCTTCTCCTGTATACATTACTAAAAAAGAGAAGAAGAAAAACCTTATAAAACTGGGATGCTTGAATGTGCGTGGATGTAGTGCGGATGATAAGAAAGAGATAATTGCTGATGTTATGAATGAAAAGAAGTTGGATGTCCTGGTCCTTAGGGAAACAAAGCTGAAGGGGGTAGGGAAGTTTCAGTGGAGAGAAATAAATGGGATTAAAGTCAGGAGTATCTGGAGTTTTGGCTAAGGAAGGGGTAGCATATGTTGAAAGATCGTACGGAAGGAGAAGGGGAAATATAAATGTAAAAACTCAAGTAGTATTTGGGGATTAAAATAAGGGTCAGTGGGGAAAACTGGGTATAATAAGCGGTTTTGCACCTGGAGAAGAGAGGAGTGGAGGGGGAGAGAGATTTTGGGGATGTTAAGTGATGTATAGGAACTTTTAAACCCAAGTAAGAGAGAAATTTGTGGTAGAGGACCTCAATGTTAAAGTAGGAGAAAAATTTGAGGGGGTGTGGTAGGAAGTAGGGGGTCCCAAGTGTATTGATAACGAGAGCCCTTTAATTTTAATGTATAGAAAGGGGTTTGTTATAGGAATACATTTTTTAAGAAAAAGAGGTAAAAAAAATATACAAGATATGTAGGGGGAGTAATGGAGTGTTTTTTGGGATACGTTTGGGTAGAAAAAAAAGAGTTGAGTGATTCAGGATGACATTTTTTATAGAGGGGCCACGAATATAGATCATTTTTGTTGTGCGTGAGAGTAAAGGTAGTGAGATACAAGAAAAATAAAAGCAGCAGTAAGGAGAGGTGAAGGTTAAAAAACTAAAAGGGGAGGCGTTAGGGTAAGATGAAAAAACTATTGGGGTTTTAG